ACTTTGAGTAGGAACTAAGGGATCCACATCTTGCATGTGTAATGTGTTGCAAAAAATTTATTTATGTGACAGTTTTGTGAAGATTAATACGTTTGGCAAAAAAAAAAGGAAAGCTAGATAGGGCAGGTATGGGTCAGATCCGGGTCAGGCAGCCCAGACCCGAATTTTGACCACGAATAAAATAGAGGAGAAGGGAGATTCAAACCCAGGCCTCTCCCATGGCGTGCTAACTATCAAACCATTAGGTTACATGTTACTTACATAAAAATAATCCACAGAATAAATATAAAATAATATTTAGCTACACTGTTGTTCATGTGAAATCAATATGTTGAAAAGATGGTTAAGAAATTAATTAATTAGTTGGCTTTTCCTACTGAACCAAACAATTGCATCTTCTCTGCAACCATGACTTTCATGGCTTCTTTAGCAGCAGCCATGACATGGACAAGGTCTGTATGAGCCTCAGGGCTTTTCAAAATGTCCATGTAAGCTTTCCTCACTTCAGTGTTCACATTGAACTTCCTAACTCCCAGCTCTATGCATTCCTATACATCATAAAACTCAATAATATAAACACCAAATTGGAAAATGAAAACTCTTATCATCTTATCTTACTCTATAATCATATATTATATATATACCTGGACAAGTTCTTTAGGCAATCCAGAGGCTCCATGAAGAACAAGAAACACTCCATTCTTTGAAGCTAAGTCATATAACTCCTGCAAAAAAAAGGTGGAATTATGAAGCTGCTAATTGAACAGCCCATCAGGTGAAAAGACATAAATACCCTCCTCTACCTTAAGCAACTGAAGCCGAAGCTTTGGCCCACTTGCAGGGTACTTCCCATGAACATTACCAATACACACTGCTAGAGCATCAATACCAGTCTCATCAATGAACTCTTGAGCCTATAATTCGTATGGAGCAAGACTAAACCCGTGTTTTTTTTTCTCTTATTAACATAGTTAGGACATAAAAAAATAAGTGTTGACCTGATTTACATCGGTCAACTTTGCATGATAGTCTTCTACAGTCAAATCATCTTCACTTCCAGATAATCTGCCTAATTCAACTTCGACTGTCATTACCAATACACACTACTAGAGCATCAATACCAGTCTTGTCAATGAACTCTTGAGCCTATAATTCGTATGGAGCAAGATTAAACCTGTGTTTTTTTTCTCTTATTAAGAAAGTTAGGACATAAAAAAATAAGTGTTGACCTGATTTACGTCGGTCAACTTTGCATCATAGTCTTCTACAGTCAAATCATCTTCAGTTTCAGATAATCTGCCTAATTCAGCTTCCACTGTCATTACCAATACACACTGCTAGAGCATCAATACCAGTCTCG